CAGATTGGCCAACAGGCAGCACTTGCCCGCACACTAGAGACCCTATCGATCGATATTTGCTGTTTATCAGAAACCCGCCTGCAAGATTCGAGCTCCGTGCTTAACCTGCGGCCCCCCACATGCGACACTGGCGGCACATTCTCATTGCGCCTGTCTGGCGATGATGCAGTTTCCAGTGCCGGTCAAGCTGGCGTCGGCATTGTTTTGAGTCCCCGGGCTGAAGCTGCCCTGATCAATTGGATCCTAGTCAACAGTCGGATGTGCGCCGTTAGATTAGCTGGTTCGTTCCGTGCTACGAAGTCGCGCGGGAACAAACGGTGCCTCTTTGTCATTGCGGCCTACGCCCCCACAAACTGTGGCACTGATTCGGTAAAAGATGATTTCTATCAGCAACTTCACGATCTGCTTCGTTACAAAAGAAGCACGAATACTGTGGTGTTGGCTGGCGATTTAAACGCCCAAGTCGGAAAATTGTCCTCTGATGAGCTTCATCTGGGCGGCCAACATGGTGTATGCTCCCGTAGTGATAACGGTGAGCGATTGCTACAGCTGTGTGAAGATGCTCGTCTCTTTCTCGTGAGCACAAACTTTCGACACAGCATCCGCAGATGCGTGACTCGGCGGCCACCAGGCTCGGGCTAGCCATGGACGCAAATCGATCACGTTGCCATTAGTTACCGCTGGAGAGGCTGTGTCCAAAACTGTCGCTCGATTTGGAGCACGAGCGCGGACTCTGACCACGCACTTGTCTGCGCCGACCTCCGGGTGCGTTTCGGTGGACGTGCGCAACGTCGATATGAACGAATTGACACCAGCCAGCTGGCGAAGCTAGGTGTTCTGAATGTATATCAAAGTGCGCTGATATCCGGACTATGTAAGCGCCCACTGAACGCCGTCGAAGATCACTGGTCGCATATTCGTCAAACGTTACTATCAGCTGGCAAATCAAATTGCCAAACTGGACATTGGGTCCCTACATGGTCTCTGGAACTTATGGATGCTCGCCGACGTATTCCGGCTGGAAGCGAATACAATGAGCCTCGCAAAAATCTCAGGGCAACACTACATGCTAGCCTCAAGAAAAACCGCGATGCCTGGTGGTCTCATCGTTCCTCTGAGATGAAAACAGCCCCTACCGTTGGCAATCATCGTAAGTTATTCCGTCTGATACGGGAAACAGGCAGCAGAAGACGTGGTGTTAGCTAGACCATACGCGACGAGAGTGGGCAGCCGATCCACAGCCTGTCAAAACTCTTGGAGCGTTGGGCCGAACACTTTACAAGGTAATTTAATCGACCTGAGTCATCGCTTTCTTTTTTGGTCATTGAGCGCTCTTCTTTCTGGTCCGTCTCCTTAGATCCGCCCTCACACGCAGAATTCGAACGTGAGATCAGACTGTTGCAATTGCATAAGGCTGCAGGGTCAGATAGAATTCCCCCAGCCATCTTCAAATTCGGAGGACCTGCTCTAGCAGCTAATTTACACGAGTTGCTAGTGAAACTTTGGGATAAGTAGACTGTCCCGACAGACTAGAACCGCTCCGCCATTGTCTCAATTTTCAAGTGAAACCTCTGTTCGGAATGCAGCAATCATAGTGGGATCAGTTTGATTTCAATTACCTCTAAATTGCTTGCGTCTGTCATTCTCCTTAGACTCCCTGGCACTCTTGGAAGCCAGATTCGTGAAGAGCAAGCCGGGTTTCGTCGAAATCGGGGCTACAGCAACCACATCTTCACCTTGCGTCAATGGTTGGAGCACCGCCATGCTTATTGGCGACCCACCGTTGTCGTGTTTCTTGACATAAAAGCTGCCTTCGACTCAGTTGATCGACATGCCGTTTGAGAATATCTGCTGAGGAAAGGTGTGCTTAATAAATATGTAAACATTATCAAAGCGCTGTATGCGCATACTTCGGGCGGAGTGAGAGTTTATGACAAACTGTCACCACCCTTCAGTGTCACCAGTGGTGTGAGACGAGGTTGCTAGCTGTCACTTTTCCTGTTTAACTTCGCTATTGATGAAGTCAGGGAAACACCGTTCGTTGGATACGACCTAGAAGGTATGGAGCGACTTCTTGACTTGGAGTACGCGAACAATATTGTTCTAATCTGTGACAGCTCCCAAACATGCCAGGCAGCACTGAACCGATTAGCACTGGCTGTTAATCGTTTTGGGTTATGCTTTGCTCCATCGAAATGCAAAGTACTTCTCCAAGATTGGCAGGGACCCACCCCTGCGCTAACACTTTGTGGGGATAAGCTAGAAGCCGTTCTGGAATTCAAGTACCTGGGCAGGTATATTAGCGCCCGTGGGATCGAAGATGAGTTTACGAACCGTATAGCGAAGGTTCGAGGTGCTTTTGCCAATATTCGCTACCTGTGGCGCAAACGCGACAGAGTTTTTAACGCAGCCGTCCGTTCAACTCTCCTGTATGGTTGTGAAACCTGGCCCATCAGGTTGACAGACATAAAGAGGCTCGTCACATTCGATCATCGCTCGTGGCTGGCTGACAAGCACAATTCGGGTCGTAACAAGGATATCTAGAACTTTTCGGAAAAGAAATCGCCTGGTAACCGTAATGGTTGTCCGTATACTAACTCGGCACTAAACATACGTAGATCGGTCTTTAGGGCTGATCGGATGCCAAGGAGGATGATAGGAAGCACCTCAGTCCAACTCTACACATAGACTTCAGAAATATTGTAAATCTGGTGGACATATTTTCACTATCTTTGACGACCGTTCAGAGATTGACTGGGCCATGTTGCACGTGTCACTCTGCAACAGTTTCTAGAGCAGCGCCGCACGTTCCGCAGACCGATAATAACTGTGTACCTCGATCCCAAAAGTGCGTTCGATTCAGTCGATCGATCTACTCTGGTCGAGATATTTGTGCGGAAAGGTGTTCCCATGCAATATGTGAACATTTTACCTACCCTGTACTCGAACACGGCAGGCCTTATCAGGGTCCACGAAGATTTGTCGGATGTCTTTCCTACAACAAGTGGCGTTCGTCAGGCTTGCCCGGTTACCCAATTTTTGTTCAATTTCGTCGTGGACTCCATCATGTAGTGTTCCCTTGCGGAATCTCACGACGTAAGCATTGAGATGCTGCCTGGTGAAAAGCTAGTTGATCTTGATTATGCGGACATTGTCGTCTTGGTACGGCGCAACCCACCTTGACTAACCTCACTAGATTGTTCTCATCATTTGGCATGCATCTTTTACCTACAAACTGCAAGGTGTTTCAGGTACACCAACTACTTTACGAACGCCCGACCCTTGATAACGAGGAACTTGAGGTAGTTGATCACTTCACCTACCTTGGCAGCTGCATTAGTAACGATAGCCACATAATGCCTGAAGTCAATTCGCGCAGTACAAATGCTAGAACTGCCTTCTTGAATCTGCGACTTTTATGGCGTCATAATGAGGTTTCCCTCGGTCTGAAGGGCCGTGTATACAAAGGCACAGTAAGGGCTGTCATACTCTATGGGAGTGAGACTTGTTCCCTCCGATCTGAGGACCTGCGGCGGTGTTTGATCATCGTTGTCTCTGAAGAGTTGCTGGCGTCAGATGGCACCAACATGTCTGCAACGATGATGCGCGTAAGGGAGTGCTAGGCAGTGATAATCAGGCTAGTTCCTTAGAACAACAAATAGCGCTGAATAAGCTGCGTTACCTTTGGCAAGTCTCACATATGCATGGCCACCGCTTAACGAGGAGGGCCTTGTTTTGTTTGGCACATGTAGTGTGACGCAAGGTCCGAGGTGGGCAAAAATTAACTTGGCAGCGGGAAATGAAGTCACTGACCAAACTTGGTGCCGTCGGTCCATCTCGCTTTTCAGGCTGGGGTCCGCTTGACCCGCCTTGTGCTTGGCTTAATGCGTTAGAGGATATGGTTCACAGTCGACACCAGTGACATGTCTGTGGTCGTCTCCTAGTCGGACTGCTTGTTTAAAGTGTGTTTTGCGCTGAGTCACCTGCGTGGTAATGGTTGATTATGACGCGCGACAATGAAGACCGCAAGCAAGCTGTCTCGCAGATGCCGCCTTGTCTTTACACAATAACCAGCTGTTTGTGATGCTATATTGTTGATAAGGTGTAGGCGCCTTGATACTGAGTGTTTGTTTAGTGCATTAAGGTTTTATGCTAGGTCCCTCTTCTCTCCTTGTTATTACTTTTCGTTCGTTAGGTCATCATGGTTGTAAGGCAGGGATGCATCAGTTCAAATGGCTGGTATAATGCTGTTGATGATGATGATGATCTCGCCTACTTCACATAACTGACATAAGACTGTTCCTGTAGAATAGCTGAGAATACGATCCGGGCGTTTTGTTTTAGTTTCATCAAGGCATAGTGGCATCATATCAGTTCGTGGTCCAACGACCCGTCCAAGAAAGAATCTTCATGGGATCCTCATATCGTTCCAATCCCCCATTTGAATTTAAACTTGTATTTTACCTCCTACTAGGTGGCTGCGATAAGTTCACTCAAATGCTTGCACTATATTTTAAATTGCTGCTCCACGTGTCTATCACTATCTATTTTATTTATTGAACACGGGAAAGCCCGGAACTTCTGATTGAACGCATACTACACTTGTGCCTGCAGCAGTTCCGGTGGTGCTCTTCTAACAGGCCAAAAGATAAGCGGTCATTGGGACTTGCTTAGACGGCTGTTGCTGCTTCTTTTTCGCTTTATCTTCTCGCTTCATCAACAGTATTGTCAGATCAGCTTCCTCCGTGTTTTTTTCCCATCGTCTACTCACTTAGGTCTTGGTCCTGCCTCTGTATCTATAACAGCGGTATCCAGCCCTTACGATGTGTTAACCATACGCACCCTCAATCCCACTCGGTACCTTACTAAGTGGTTGGGATAACTTCATCCCACCGCGTACGTGGTATTTGTTTTGCATTGCAGCCCTATACGACCTACGCCACACATTGGACACAGAAACCCTTGAAATCTTCGACCGGACGCATACTCCAACATTCCCTATGAGTTTCCTCTTCGGATCTCGGAAGACTGTTGATGAACAGCTTAGAGCAAACAAGCGCGCCGTCGCTCGTGCCGTCCGTGAGCTTGATAGTGAAAAGCGAAGGCTCGAACAAGATAATACGCGATTGAAAGGGGAGATTAAAAAGCTTGCCAAACAAAATGAAATGGACCCCGTTCGGATACTCGCAAAGCAATTGATTAGAAATAATCATTACATTAAACGGTTCACTTTAATGAGGACAAATCTGGAGGTACGTTGCATTTCTGTTTCGCATCATCATACACTAGGCCGTGGGATTGAAATTGCAAACTCTCAAATCCACCAACGCGATGGCTCAGACTATGAAACACATCATTCAGGTTATGAAGCGCATGAATGCTTCAGTAGGCTCCCGCAACTGCAGCAAATTATGATGAAGTTTGAAAAGGAATCTGGCATGCTAGATGCCAAGGAAGAAATGATGTCTGATGCTATTGATGACGCCTTGGGAGATGATGACGTCGACGAGTCTGAGAACGTTGTCAATGCAGTAAGCGATAGTTCATATTCCATTCACCATTTGTCGTGTGTATGCGATTCACTGACAAGTTTGTTTAAACTAGTGGTATGTAAATCCGGTAGCTGGGATTCAAGGCCTAATCGATGCGATTGCTTTCACTTTACTCATGCTGTTAGTGTTTCTGATGTATTTTTTTCTTTTGGGCTTCGCACTACTATGAAGCAAATCACTGGGCAACGCTATTGAGAAGTCATTTGAAATCTGTCTCTAGAACTACCAACTAATGAACTGAACTACCGGACCTGATAAATTTGCTTGGCTGAGCGGGTCATTGAACGCAACCAACGAGTAGTAATGGGGAAACGAATGGTTTGGTGTGATGATAGTTCAAAAACTAAAACAACTGTCTGTAGTACACCCCGTAGTCGGATGGCTGCGCGCGCACCTGAGGCGGGCCAGTACATGAGTGGAATTGCGCGGGCTTGGAACACGCGTGGTTCTAACCTGTCACGGATGAGTCAACACAAGAGATTTGTGGCGCAATGTACGGTTTAAATAGCGCGCCATTTTATGTCAAATATATTTTGATGGAATTCTGACGTGGACTATCTTTTTCGTGGGCTACGCTACATGATGTTAGAAGAAGGAAGAGGCCGATAAACAGGCCGCAATTTTGCTTTGGTTTGGAGCCTTCGGTCGCGATACTGACTCCGCAGAAAACTGGGAATTGTTGAACTCCATGTGGACGGATTTCGCCATACTGATGCAGCTGACTAAGCAACTAGTAAATTGTTAGTTTGCATTGTCCAGATGTGTCATTTGTGACGTAGCATGATACGTAACTGATACAATTTAACTCGATAACGAGCACAGAGCTCTTGATCTGTGCACAGTTGTTCCAGGATCCGATGAGTTATGTGAAGGCAGAACAGACGAACCCGTCAATACTATTTATTCTTTGGCCAAAACCAGCTTTCTGGTGATTCCATTAACAACTACGCCAAGGAGCTGAAGCTCTTGGCAAAGACGTTTCTTGTCGAATGTCTGCGCGATTCCTTGATAAGAGGTCGGATTGTACTAGGCATCCTAGATGAAAATATAGCCCAAACACTGCTACAACAAATCCACCTGAACTAGGACTACTACGTCGACATTTGTGACAGTGAAACAGCGACGCCTTTCCAGTGTAACCAGCATAACCCGGACACACCCTGCAGGCACGAACGCTTGATCGGCACCTGATGGGCGCCCGAAACAAGTCCCGATGACAAATTTCGGGCAGTCGTGAACGCCCGCATTTACTCGCATTTGGGACTAAATTCGGGCACTCAGTGTACTATTGCATCCGCATTCACCCATTCATGTGCAACTATTTTCCACTACTTTTAACGCGATTCGACGACCACTGAATGGTTACGCACAAACAACAGCTTGCACGTCAAGAATTGTTGGCTCTGTGTGCAATTAATAGAATCTTGGGATCACACACACAGGCCAAGAATTATTTCTTTGTTGGGAAATTTGGTATTCAGTTCTTAGCGCCCGAACTTAGTCCCAATGGAGACTAAATTCGGGTGCTCAGAAAAAAATTGCTGCAGCACCCTCCCATTCGCGGAGAACACTTTTCCATTACTTGTAACATTTCGACTACCACTGCACGTGTGCATACTAACGCATTCTTCCGTGCATTAAATTACTTTTATCTACAGCAATGTGCGGTTCTTTTTGAGCGCTCGAAGTTCGTCCCAACTAGGACTAAATTCGGATGCTCAGCAAAAAATTACAGCAGTCTCCCCCAATTCACGGTTAACCAATTTCCATCGCTTTTAGTACAGTACCACGATCCCTGCAGGGGTGCGAAGTACACACTCCTAGGCTCCCTATCTGATTACCGCGTATAAAAGAACCGAATTCATGAACCACACGCCACTGTTGCACTGCAACCCCGTAATCCGTCAGCGTGTGTTACACACTGTCCGCTCTTACCACGAACGCGTTCGTGAGGGATGTAAAAATTTGACCCTTTACCCAAATGTGAGGATATCTGCATTCGCTATATCGAATTTTCACGCACACTAACAGCTGTTTTATGTCGCTGTAGAACGAAGCAGTAAGACCCCTTTAACTTTTTATACAAGAATACCGGAAGGTTAAAAAAATTGTAATAGAAAGGCGCTAATGCAGCGTTTTTGTACTAGGCCCGGGTGTAACATGCGACGTCGGTTTGTAATCCTCTCTTGATTCGCTGTATCCAACGGCGAAGCTTATCTGCGATTGTGCTTCCAGTGCATCGCGCGAAGTTTTTGCGCGTTAAAACGTCTACAAATGATGTTTTATGCAATATCATGGCTTACCGATAAGAGCACGAGCCAAGTGCGTGCCTGAAATTCGTTGCTTCGGGTGAACTGCTTGCCAGTTCACTTTCCTTGCAAGGGCGTTCGTCATGACCGTTAACAGTATGTTCTTGACGAATTCCGTCAACAACTTTCCGCCCATTTGCCCAAAATGCCGTCTGAAACGTGATATATGAATTCTGTCCTTACAAAGTTCTCCATGTCTTCGCGTTTCTCCAGCCGCATGTTCCGCGTAAGGAGCTCATCAACTGAGTCCATTGACAGTGGCACAGGACTGATGGCAGCTGTCCTGTCAATGACCACTCGTCGATCTAGGGCGTGTAACCTCAACTCCATGGCACACATTTGTTCTCGCATACGAACGAACTCATGCGTCAGATGGTCGAGACGGAGTGCAGCGAGCTAATGATAGCTACACGGCAACTTACTACAAGCTGCTTTATTGAAGTAATCCACTGTGTCAGGCGATTCCTCTGTAACGAAGGATACTTGACAGCAACGATCACAACTACAACATTATGCCACGGAAATGTAGGTACCTTAGACTCCCTGTTTGCATTGGATCTTCATTTTCCTTGTTACCTTGCGGCGAATATTCCAACGGCAACCTGAGTGGTGGGGGTAAATACTCGATGTCCATGCTGTACGCGGCAATGGGACTTTATAGAAGTTTCGCATTCTGGGAAACGGACGGAAATTCTAAAAATAAAGATAGCTGAATTTATATCTACATTTTACGTTTTCCGCCCCGCTCCGTGGAGCAGGTTGCGTCGCTGGACGGTGGCTCCGATAGTTCAAGCAACACAACCTCCAGGCGTTTTATTTTCGCGTAGTCACCTACTAACAATTCCAACACGGTGATATCGTAGAGTATGCAACCTGAAACTTTCACGGCATATAACGTCGATCTGAAGCACAATCATCATGCATTCATGCAACCTTTCGTACTACCTTCATGGGAGACATTTTCCTGTTCCCGGGAAATAGTGAATCAAATGCGTCACATTTCCCTCGGAAGCGACATTTGTGCTTATCCAGCTTCACGTATTACTGCTAAAGTGAGGTATAATATTAACTTACTGATGCTGGGATAGTTGTCAAATACACGTTAACGTGTTGATTTCCCTAGTAGCACATTCCATGTGCGGTCAATCCTTGAACATGGGCTACCAGCGGCCTACCCACTTACGAACACCGAGTGCGTTTGATTGAGACAAATCTACGCCCATTACTGTGCTCTGATGAACTAGTGGAAACTGCTTAAACTGGAAAAGCCTACCTGAGCCAGTCGTTATTGCACAGATCCATTTGGGTTTCCGAAGATAACTGGACTCTTATTTCATTGGTAAGCAAGTACCATCGCAATGAGGCTGGACCTTACCGTGGTGCGATGGTTTGTTTACCTCAATGATCCATTGAGCTATGCTGGGTGGTGCTTTCTTTTACACCTTCAGAGCCACTCATACCAGATTGGTCAATGGTTAGAGGTCAGACATACTCAGTCTCCTGGTCCTCCAGGTTGGGAGTTGGAATGAGATGGCTCCTTATTCCTTAAAACGGACTCCTTGTAGCCCAACGCCAAATCCGCTGTTTTGCGGTCAGATTTTTCAACCAAAGGTTTTGGTTGAGTACTCTAATCGGTCTCCTGTCTAGGCTTGGGCAACCTGACAGTATCCTGCCCACGCAATACAATGAATTTCTCTTCAAACAGTTTCTTAATGCTCTGGCCACCGCAGAGAATAAACGCCGGTGCCCTATATGCTGCATTGAGCAGGATGGATAGGGGTTTGGATGCTACTGCTCAAGCCTTCCCGTCTTCTTATTCCCCCTCTTGCGCTTTTTCACCCTTATCGTCCCGTTCCAGCTCCACTTTTCATCCCCCAATTTTTGGCCCTCCCCCACCTTGCTATGCTAGGCTTTTACCTTCTAGTTTCAACTCACATGTGAACGCAGTGCGCCCTTCCTGTCCTGTCGACAAGCCCATGTACAACCAAGAGGCCAAGCCCAGTGCATCGACTTCCATTTGGAGCCCTCGATCCTACTTAGGATTGGCATGCCTCAAAGTTCGCACGATTCTTCAGATCGGTCAACAAGCAGCACTTGCCCGAACATTGGAGACCCTTTCTGTCGATATCTGCTGCTTATCGGAGACCAGTCTGCAAGACTCGAGCTCTGTGCTCACTCTGCGACCCCCACCAGGTGACACCAGCAACAGTTTCTCATTGCGCCTATCCGGTGACAATGCAGCTTCGAGCACCGGCCAGGCTGGTATTGGTATTGCCCTGAGTCCCCGGGCTGAAGCTACTCTGGTTGATTGGATCCCAATCAGTAACCGGATGTGTGCGGTCCGATTGGCTGGCTCGTTCAAAGCTTCGAAGTCGCGTGGGACTAATAGGTGTCTATTCGTCGTCGCTGCCTATACACCCACAAACTGTAGCGATGACTCGGTAAAAGACGACTTCTATCGTCAACTGAACGAGCTCCTTCGCCACAGAAGCTCGGACATTGTAGTGCTGGACGGGGATCTGAACGCTCAAGTTGGGAAATTATCCATAGATGAGCTGCATCTGGGCGGCCAACATGATGTAGGCTCCCGTAATGATAACGGTGAGCGGTGACTTCATTTGTGTGAGGATGCTCGCTTATTTCTTGCGAGCACTAATTTCCGACACAGCA